TATCGGAATCCAGATCAGTAGATGTCATAGGACGGATTTCATAGTTCAGAATCTTTTCCATGTTGATAAGAGGTATACCGGTTCTCTTTCAGCTATCCCTTCAATATGTTCAGTAGTGATTCCGATTCCGAAGATGACTTTGTTCCAAACAAGGATCTGATTACGGAAGATGTTGAAGGGATATCAAAAAGAGAACCCGTTAGTCCTCTTATCAAAGTGGAAAAGATTCTGAACTGTGAAATGTGTCCTATGACATTTATTGCAGGGGAGAAAATGATGGGAAGGAGTATCTAGTAAAGTTTAAAGAACTTTCTTATGCTGAATGTTATTGGGAATCTGAACCGGAGATCTCAGCTTTCCAGAAAGAAATTCAAAGGTTCGAGGGTATAAATTCTGGTCACTGCAAAGACAAATATGTTGAACATGAGAAAGATCATAGAGGTTTCATACACTTAGATCAAAATCCTGAATTTCTACAGTCTCATTGCATCCGTACCAGCTTGAAGGGCTTAACTGTTTGTGGTGTTCGTTGTTAAAGCGAACTCATGTAATTATTGCCGATGATGTAAGACTTTCACAATAGGTAGTAAAACCACAAACGTTTATATGAGATCCAAAGTGTCATCTGATTTGTACGAGTCGTTGTTTTTCTATATGTTAATTTTGTGTTTGGCCTTGTTAAATCGAATCAATAAGATATGTGATCATTAATAATAAAATATATTTAATATTTGTCTTGAAAATTATATAAGGCATACTGATGATTATTGAGATTTTCTTTAAGGTTAAAAAAAAGGAAAAATATGTCAATAAATGCACTCGCCCCACTGAGCTTGGATTCCGTTGAAATCGGAATTGCTAAAACAGAATTTTATACAGCTGAAAAAAAGATGACATCGGCAAGATATTGGAAACGCTGGGTATGTTGATAAATCGGTTATGGTCGACAGAGGTTAAACCAGTTAGAATTTAGGAAATACCGGATTGGGGGGCTTCTTGTCTTTTCTCCAAGGAAAGATCGAAAGAAGTGGTACTTTAAATGGAAGTGCAAAAATGTGTAATTATAAAGACAACAAGTGTCATTTGGAGTAAATATTTCTATATATAATTCAATTGAATGAGTTAAAACCTGAAAACCTTGATGTCCTGAAGTGTGGGACACACAATGACAAAGTTTTCCACATGTTTCTGTTTTCACATTTAAAGCAGAGCTTTTACAATATGTTTTCACATAGATCCTAGAAAAGAAGATCACATGTTAAGGCCATCAAAGAAGTGTATCTGTATTGATTGATGTATGATTGTCTGTATATCCTTGATCAGATAAAAAAAATTAATCAATACATTGTGTGAGCCAAAACTCGCACAACCAAAAATTTGTTAAGGAAAACTTTAAGGGATCCGAAATTTTTAGGGTTTATCGAAAGAACAGTAAGATCAAAAGAATGTTTTTTGCTGGAAAAGTGTAAGTCTTATTGCTCTTGAGTTGTGAAAAATTACATAATGAATCGCATATATCATCTATTTATACTAATTCTCCAAATCGCCTAGCCGAGAATCTCTGGAGAGATTTTCGGAATATTTTCTTATCGTTTCGTGCGGCCACCGCCTTTGTATTTCGCCTAGGGTTTTTCTGTGGGCTTCTTGACCTGGATTAGGCCCATAGCAAATTAATCGGCTCGGCCCAATGCAAAGGAGATTCGCTCGGTCCAACACGAAGGGACGCAGCTCGACCGCTTATTCTGTTCCACAGCTCGGCCCACTTGCCTTTCCTCTCACGGTTCGGCCCAAACATCGCACGAGGCGGCTCGGCCCATATTCTCCTTTCTTCTATGGATCCGGCCCACTTTCATATTCCTTTGCTATGGCTCGGCTGTAGATGTAAGGCCAAGGACGGGCTGTCTACGTACCCGTTGATTAAGTCAAGCTCATCCAGCATTATCAGGTGATTCAAACCTTCCTGTCCTGGCAAAAGTCTTCGTCGAATTCCGAGGAAATCCACCTCGAGAGGGATCACACATTCTGTTCCATAGACGAGGGCAAATGTGGTATCTCCGGTGGCGCGGCGCGGAGTCGTCCGATGCGACCAAAGGACTCCCTCGAGTTCATCTGTCCATCGTCCCTTCTTGGCGTCGAGCCTCTTTATCAGGCCGTCTAGGATTGTCTTGTTAGCTGCTTCGGCTTGTCCATTCTCTTTGGGATATCTTGGCGTGGATTTGCTCAGACGGATTTTCCACTTCTCGCAGAAAGCTTCGAAGCGAGTTGAGATGAACTGAGATCCGTTGTCGGTGACTGTCTCGTAAGGAACCCCGTGTCGGCAAATGATATTTTTCCAGACGAAGAGTTCGACCTGAGCGTCCTTTATGCTTGCGTAGGAGTCGGCCTCAACCCATTTGGAGAAATATTCTGTAAGGACGAGGATCTCATGAAGGGATAAGGCGACGAAATTGACAACAGTAGCTTGGTAGGTTGATGGATAGTAAGCGCGTGTCATTGACACTTCTCGCACTTTGCAGTGAACTTTTCATAGTCCTTGACCATCCTAGGCCAGAAGTACACGTGCCATTTTATCTAGATCGCTAGTGATCTTCCGCTAGAGTGATTACCACACGCGCCGCCTCGGGTCCTTCGACACAGGTCATTTGTGGTCCTGAAAACCTCCACTTGAACACCTCACCGTCGACGAGGATGTATCGTGCGGCTTGAGCCCTTAACTTGAGAACTTCCCACTTGTTGGGTGGCTCTTCTCCGTCGGCAATGTAGACTCGAATAGCTTCGAGCCATTCCTTGTCACAGCCGTTCTCTAGCTCGGGTAACGAGGCGTCTTCTTCCATTGCGATCGCTTCACCGTTATCTGGTTCTTCCTCAGGAGGGTTGATTAGCCGAACTCCTTCTACCTCTTCTATGCTCAGCCGTTCGATGAATTCGACCGGAATTGTTCATAGAAGATCCGGGTCCGAGGTCGATGCGACCGCCGAGGTGTTTTCGCCTCGAGGTATTCGCGTGAGCTCGAACTTGTCAAACTTTTGTACTAAGTCTTGGACTACTCTGAGGTAAGCTCCCATTCTTCCATCCTTAGCCTCGTACTCTCTGTTAAATTGGTTTGCGATGAGCTTTGAGTCGCAAAAGGCTCTTATTTTCCGAATTTCCCAAAATTCAGGCGGAATGACTGCTCCAAGATCTCTCTGGTGGGCAAAGTGACGTGTATTCCTATTCCCGAGCCATGTTTTGATGATGAGCTGTCGACATGCAGTGTCCAAACGTCATCTGGAGTCGGCTCGGTTGTTGCCCCGGCTGGAAGTTCGACGAGGAAATCTGCGAGCACCTGGGATTTTGCAGACGACCTATTCTGATACTCGATATCGTACTCACTTAACTCGATGGCCCATTTTGCGAGCCGCCCAGACTGGCTCCGGCTAAGCAGGATCGAGCGCAGCGGAAGGGTTGCAAGCACAATAATCGAATGTGATTGGAAATAAGGACGCAGCTTGCGAGCCGATACTGCGACGGCTAGGGCGACCTTCTCAATTTGTGGGTAACGAGTCTCGGCATCGGTCAATTTCTGACTGATATAGAAGATGGGTTTTTGTGTGGACTGCTCCTCTCTTATAACCACTCCGCTCACAGCCGTAGCGGATACATCGATGTAAAGGAAGAGGGGTTCTCCCTCTACTGGTTTCGCTAAGACTGGCGGGCTTGCTAGATAGTTCTTCAACTCCTGAAAAGCTGTTCCGCATCGCTCGTCCCACACGAACTTCTCATTTCCTCGAAGGATATCATAGAAAGGGAGACACCTGTCGGTAGATCACGAGATGAATTGGTTCAGCGCAGCGACTCTTCCTGTGAGCCTTTGAACTTCTCGCTTTGTTCTTGAAAAGGGCATCTCGATTAATGCCTTGATTTGCTTGGGGTTTGCTTTAATGCATCGGTGTGTCACCAAATAGCCGAGGAACTCTCCCGAGGTGACCGCGAATATACACTTTGCCGGATTTAGTTTCATGTTGTGCTAGTTCAGTTGTTCGAAGCATTCCCGTAGGTGCGCGATATGGTCTTTTTCTTCTAGTGATTTGACCAGCATATCGTCGATGTACACCTCAATGGTTTTTATGAACTGATCTGCGAACATCTTATTGACGAGCCGTTGATACGTTGCCCCAGCGTTTTTGAGTCTGAACGGCATGACTTTGTAGCAATATATCCTGGATCGGTTATGAAAGCCATTTTTTCACTGTCGTCGAGATGCATCAGGATTTGGTTGTAACCTGAAAATGCGTCCATGAACGTCAACAACCTATTTCCTGCCGTAGCTTCGACGAGTCGGTCGACATGCCGTAGAGGGAAACTGTCTTTTGGGCACGCCTTGTTGAGATCTGTGAAGTCTACGCAGACCCGCCACTTTTCATTTTTCTTCTTCACTACCACCAAGTTTGCGAGCCAGTCCGGGTAATTTGTCTCGGCGATCGATCCTACTTTGAGCAATCTTTCTACTTCGTCGTTGACAGCTTTAGCTCGTTTAGGGCCGAGCTTCCTCCTTTTCTGCTTGATTGGTTTGAAGGTCGGGTCTACGTTCAGCTTGTGACATGTCACATCGATGCTTATGCCCGACATATCCTCCGCGGTCCAGGCGAAAGTGTTGATATTCTCCTTGAGTAAGGAGAGGAGTTCGTTCTTCATAGGTTCTCCCAGCTTGGTTCCGATCTCGACGCGTCTCTCTTGATGCGCTTCGTCTATGCACACCGAGTCCACCGCGATCTGTAATTGCTATAAGATTTTGGAGAGTTCGCTCGTGGGCTCTCGATCCGTCTTCAGCTTTTTGCAATCTACGCCTGCGCGTGCGTCGGTGACAGGGTTCCTCAATTTGTGCTCCGTTAGGAAACACATTCGCGACTCCTTCTGATTTCTCCAAATCGTTTTGACGCCTGCTGGAGTTGGGAACTTGAGGCAGAGGTGATAGGTGGAAGGGATTGCTCTCACTGCGTTTATCCATGGAGTCCCCATGATCACGTTGTAGATCGCTGGGTGATCTTAGTGACTCTGCCGGCCATCACGGGGAGTCTGATTGTGCCCATAGTCATTGTTGTTTCTCCTGAAAATCCTGTTAGAGGTTTAGGGACTGCCGTCACCTTGGAGAGGTTGATTCCCATCCTTCTGAGTGTCTCTCTAAAGATAACATCTACCGAGATCCCGGTGTCGATGAGTACCCTTGCTACGTCATGGTCTCTGATCGTCAGTTCGATCACCAGCGGATCAGTGTATGGTCTATCTATCCCTGCCGTTTCTTCCTCGGCAAAAGCGATTACTGTGTTCAGGAGATCGGTCGGTTCGGTCCAATTCTCCTTCGCTTCGGCTCGACGCTGATAGGCTTTGATAGAGGATACCGTGTCTTGGTAATATTAGGATCCGTCCATAATCATGTTGATCCTTTGCCTCGGCTCAGATCGCTCTTCGGGTTCGCCTCTCTTGTCGCGCTTGGTATTATCGCCTCGTCGGTGCGGATTTACGGGTTCTTCCGCACCTTTCTGCTCGGTTCCCTCTTTTGGCTCGCTAGGGGCGGGGTCTTTAAGATTCACCATGCTCTGGAGCTCTTCGGCGGCGTGTTGAGCGCCATCTCTCGTCAAAATTCGGATTTGTACCACAAGGATCGCTTCAGATCCTCGAGTGCAGCCTTGTCGCTTATTCCTTCTACGTTGGACACAATCGCCTTGAATCTTGTCATGTAGTCCCAAAGCGGCTCGTTTGGTCCTTTGGATAGTTTCCATCGGTCAGAGTTGGAGGTTCCTCGATCCATGAACATTGAATACTGCTTGAGGAACAAAGCGGAGAGCTGTTGGAAGCTGCTGATTGAGTTGCGCTCCTGTCTCAAAAACCATTTCAGTGCGACTCCCTTGAGATGCTCTTCGAATAGCAGACAATGACCGGCGTATTTCTCCTGCTCGGTCAGAATGGCGGTGTTCTTTGTGAAAGCTTGTCCCATCACTATGCGAAACAGTGTGATATGTGCCTTCGGGTTGGTAGTGCCTTTGTAGAATGGGATTCTGACTTTCCCAGGTTCGGGAATCCTAGCTTCCGTGATTCTTGTTGTGAGCATGGTTCTTTGGGTTTCCTCTAGCATTCGATTAATCACCGGCACGACAATTGTCACGTTATGCACATGAGATTTCATGGCGCGTATATTGGCCACTGTTTGAACCATTGAGGCTCGAAACTCTTCGATCTCGAGGGTTTGCGTGCGGGTTGTTCTCCTAGGTTTGAGCGCGGGTCGCTCTACGGAAGATGTTGAAGGGATAGCCAAAAGAGAACCGGTTATTCCTCTTATCAAAATGGAAAAGATTCTGAACTGTGAAATGTGTCCTACGACATCTAGTGATCTGGATTCCGACAATGTGGTACCAACGCGATTGTTTGTCAAGCAATATTTTTTGAAATGGAAGAACCTTTCGTACCTGCACTGCTCTTGAGTGTTGGAGGAGTAATTTGAAAAGGCTTACAAACCATCCCTCATTTGAAAACAAGGGTGAAAATGTTTTATTTTAAAATGGAGTCAGTGAGTTACAAGGGAAAAGACTTTGTGGCCATTCATCCTGACTAGACCATTGTGGACCGGATCATTTATTGCAGGGAAGAAGATGATGGGAAGGAGTATCTAGTGAAGTTTAAATAACTTTCTTATGATGAATGTTATTGGGAATCTGAATCGGAGATCTCAGCCTTCCAAAAACGAAATTCAAAGGTTCGAGTATATAAATTCTGGTCAGTGCAGAGACAAATATGTCGAACATGAGAAAGATCATAAAGATTTCATACACTTCGATAACACTCCTGAATTTCTTACACGCTCATTGCATCTGTACCAGCTTGAAGGGCTTAACTTTTTGTGGTTTTCGTGGTCAAAGCAAACTAATGTAATTCTTATCGATGGTGTAAGACTTTTACAATAAGCAGTAAAACCATAAGCTTTTATATGCGATCCAAAGTGTCATGTGATTTGTACGATTCGTTGTTTTTGTATATGTTAATTTTGTGTTTAGCCTCGTTAAATCGAATCAATGGCCTTGCTTGGCGTTGGCTTTTATGGCTTTTATACTCATTTACAGTTTTAAAAGTCATATTTTTGCCAAACACACTGTTCTTTCTTCAATTATTGTTAAAGTATTAAAATCCAAACTTTTTGGTTTTGGTCATGCATTCTAAAAGCTACGTGAAAGTAACTTTTACAAAAAAATCTAACAAAAATAAATATATTTAATTTTTTTTATCTATTTTGTTTTCCAGAATTATTCAAACAACTTTGTAGATTTATATCTAAATAATTACAAACTAAATTTAATTGATTAAATATATTTTTTCTGCTTTCTTTTAAGATCCATTTCTTAAATTGTTTTTTTGATTTTTTTGGAATATAAAAGTTTCCAGTCAGTTTCTACAGTTTTTATTATTAAACAATTTTTTTATTTTTTTAAGTAAAAGCAAAAGTTTTTACCGTTAAAAGTTTATAGTAAAAGCCAAGAGTAACAGCTCTTACCAAACATGCCCAAGATATGTGATCACTAGTAATAAAATATATTTGATATTTGTCTTGAAAATTATATATGGAATACTGATGATTATTGAGCTTTTCTTTAAGGTTGGAAAGATGGAAAAATATGTCAATAAATGCACTCGACTCCGCTGAGCTTGGATTCTGTTCGGCGAGATGTTGGAAATGCTGGGTATTTTGATAAATCAGTTATGGTCGATAGAAGTTAAACCGGTTAGAATTTAGGAAATACTGGATTGGAAGGCTTCTTGTCTTTTCCCCAAGGAAAGATCGAAAGAAGTGCCACTTTAAATGGAAGTGCAAAAATGTGTAATTATAAAGACAACAAGTGTTATTTGGAGTAAATATTTCTATATATAATTTAATTAAATGAGTTGAAACCTGAAAACATTGATGTCTTGAAGTGTGGGACACACAATGACAAAGTTTTACACATGTTTCTGTTTTCACATTTAAAGAGGAGCTTCTACAATCTGTTGTCACATAGACCCTAGAAAAGAAGATCACATCTTAAGGCCATCAAAGAAGTGTATCTGTATTGATTGATGTATGATTCTCTGCATATCCTTGATCAGATAAAAAAAAAAAAATCAATACATGGGACCAGATTAGCTAGGCTATAGAAACTACAAATCTATATAAACAATTGTCACATGATGTGTTCTTGGATAGATTGTAATAGAAACTTTGTTTATAGAGAGGTTTGGCTATCAGAAGCTTGCATTTAGAGTAACCATTATATGCTGAATAATTTGAAATAAATTTCAGTAGATTATCATGAGTAAACTATTTTGAAACCCAAAAAAAAAAACAAAATCCAACTTACAAAATAGTGTAATACACATGAATTTTTTAATTGTGTTAATCATATTTTAAAATTTGAACAGTAACAACATTGACTTTAAATCATTCATCGAAGAATCCATCTTTAAATCGATAATTGTGATGTAAATCTATCTTTTGTATGCCGATGGAACATGTTGTCGGTCAAAAGCCATCTATCTCTGCTTGATCTCGACCATTATTTTGGTCAAATTATGTCAATTATTTTTCTTTTAGACTACGAATTTGGTCTAACATTTTTTTACAAAATATGGTTTGATTTCGATCGCATTTGGTAATCTCTTAATATAATTATGATTTTCTTCTTCAGTATTTAATCTTTGACCAAAAAAATGGTTAGATTTGACAAAAAAGAAAAAGACACCATTGTTCCATGCTATAAAACGGTTCAACAGTAGCTAAAACTATCTCAGATAACATCATCTTCAACATCTTTTTCTGTAATAATATAGTCGACAAGTAAAATAATGGAGACAATATTCAATGAAGTTTGCTTTTGTTTTCTTCTTAGCCGTTACATCCGGTAAAAGTCATATTTCCTAAGTATGAAAAAATTATATATGCAAGTTTATATTTCTAAAAACATATATATTGGTTTGATTTGGTTTGCAGTGATTAGTGTCGTAACAGTTACATATGTTGAAGCAAAACAATTATTTTCTGTACAATCTCCTTAGCTTTTGTTGGATGATGAAGCTAATTCACCGCAGGCTATATTGTGAAAGTCCTGCATCGGTAGTTGCAGAACTGGAGATAAGTGGATTAGCCTTTACCATTTAAAACTACTTTACAAATGAGGAATAAACTGGCGTATTCCTTCTGCTTTAAAGAAATTCTCAAATCTCCTCATCATAATATTTAATTTGTTTTCGATTTATTTTAAAGCAAGAAAAATGGAGAAAAACGGTCAAATACTTGGAGGTCCTTACTAAAGTTTCATATTTACTAACCCAACCACGAAGATCCACACACCGTCTGTCATATCGGGTTGAATCCGAAGAAATCGGGTTTTCGGTCAAAATTGTAGTAATTCAAACCCTAAATTTAAAGAAAAAAATTCAAATTTCAAAATCGTCATCTCGTCGTCGTCTTTGTTTAATATTCTCTGGGACAACTACGAGTGATTTGCTGTTGCCTGTCTTGAATCAAAGCCTCGCTAAATCAGGTTCGTTCATCTTCATCCTCTGATTCTAATTTCTACCTAGATTACATTGTAGATTTGGACTCCGTTTTGTGTAGAATCTAAAATTCGATTTATATGTTCTCTATTCGGTTGGTAATTACAAAATAGGAGTCATGGATTTAGGCAACAAAAGAGTGTTTAGATATGCTAGACCAGAACTGTACTCAGATTCTGAATCGTCGCAGGAGAAAATGGTAGAAGGAGTTGCCAAATCAGAGACGGGTAATAATCAGATAGTGTTGTGGAGGGAACAGAGGCTGAGGCTGAGGAGGAGGAGAACCAGCCATTGCCACCCGTGAGAATGTTCTTCGAGCCCAGTCAGTATCATAATGCAATAAAGCTGGGAACAAGATGTTATATCCACAAAGCTGTTGCGAATTTGGAGTCCCTAGACCTTGAACCCCATGAGCTGTTATGGTAAACAGAACACCCACAGTTAAAGCACTTTTGGCATATGCATAAGGCCATGCATGAGGACACAACACGCAAGATGATGGGAATGTGGTTGCTTCTTCTTCGGACAGCAAACACAAATAAGAAGAGGGAAGCTTGGTTTGTAGTGAATGGCATACCAATTCGCTATTCCCCTAGAGAGCATGCCATTTTGTGTGGATTAAACTGTCTCCCGTACCCAGAGGACTATGAGAGCATATGAAGTTCTTCGTTTAAGAATAGATATTTCCAGGAAACCATCCCCTCCCTTGCTGCTAGTGAGAAAAAGCTAGAGTCGATGCGAGGGCTAGTTAATCCTGATCGGTTGAAGATGTGCGTCGTCTATTTCTTATCCTCTATAATTAGTGGGAAAACGAAAACCAGTAAGGAAGCACCATCTTGACCCCTTATTCATGATGATTGTGGATGATCTCGAGGCTTGTAAAAGGTTTCCTTGGGGTAGGTATTCATTCGATGTAAATATGAAGGAGATTGAGCACACAATAAGGCATTTCAATGGGGTCGTCAAAACAGATGCCTGGACATTTCCAAGCTTTGTTACTACCTTGGAGGTATGT